CCAGTGCACTGGTTGCACACAGGAAATGGCACGGGGAGCCAGTGCACTGGTTGCACACAGGAAATGGCACGGGGAGCCAGAGCACTGGTTGCACACAGGAAATGGCACGGGGCACCAGCGCGCTGGTTGCACACAGGAAATGGCACGGGGAGCCAGCGCGCTGGTTGCACACAGGGGAACAGCAACCAACTCTGAACGGCCACTTCTAGAAACTGTTCTTATACCATCCTGGCCTCGCCTAAGAAAAAAATGAAAAAAACTCCACAAAGGATTAGCTGCAATGGGAAGGGTTTCACAGTATTGGACTCTCAGTACGCTTCCCTGATAGGCTTTAGGGTTTAACTGTAATCAAAGGCGAAGCTGGGTTCCTGCAAGCCTGAGAGGGGATCTCCTCCTGCCACTGACCTGGAGACATGAAGGGCTGCATTCATTAGACGTCTCTGGTGGGGGCAGAGGGGTGGATGATGCTAACTAACAGCCTGGGGAACCAGGACCGCCAGACTGGACTCAGCATCCTCCTCCAGGCAGATTCTCTGCAGAGCCGGCCGAGAGCCGGACCCCTGGTGTTGAACAGGGCGGTCAGAGCCAATGTTCCCTCTAATCCTTAATGGTTGGTGTGTGCCCAAATTTGAAGTTGTTCAAATGAAATTATTTTTTTTGTTAATATTGTCATTCTCATAGAAGCATAGAGATCCCAAAGACCGGGACAGCGACTCCACGAGCCCAGTCCTAGAGACTGAGTTTGGAGCGAGCAGGAGCAGGGAGGTACAAGACTCTGAGAGCAGAGATATCAATGATCGAGTAGCGATAATAACGCACACAACCGAGCTGGGCCCCTCCCAGCCAGTCTCATGTGGTCAATATAGCATTTTCCAATCGACGACCGCGTTTGTTTGATTATTATCATACTTTTTTGGTATTTTAATTTTTTGTGCGCAGTTCAGTTTCCTATGTTCACTGAATCATTTCACACTTAGAGGGAACATTGGTCAGGGCTCGTCCCAGGGCAGCGCCACCAGTTCCCTATGCTGTTTGAGCTCTCTATCTCCACCCCTCTCTGCTCTGCTTCCAGAGCGTTTTGCTCCAGCGCAAAAGTGCTCTTTTTTCCTCTCCTGGCACAGATCATACTTCACCCCCCACCCCTACATTTCCATTGCAGTAAAACCCACGGCAAACGACTGCTTTCTTGTTTCTGATGCTCACGGCATCCTCTGACTGTCCGGGCGGCTCCATTCTCTATTAATAAATTCAGAAAATGAGGAGAAAGTTCTGCTCGAGAGCAAGAAGCTTTGAAAATTCTCGTTTGTTAGTTTAAAAAAAAACAAATACAGTTAAACTGTAGCTAAAACGTCTTAACAGAGAGCAGTTCACAGCATAAAGAGTTCCAGAGGAGAGAGGGGCACCTTGCTCATTCACATGAACCCCCCAGAACCCCCTTGAATATGGAGGCTTCCCCACCTCAAGCATCCATCTCTTGGTCACTCTGTTTCCCACACCCACTACTCATTGTGTAAAGCAGTGATCAATTGGCATTGCAGTCTCAATATTGGGGTGTGGGCTCACCCCCCTCCTCCTCTCAAATGCTGGGCCGCAAATAGCGCCTCCATCAGTCACACATTCAACAGGGGGATCCCTCTGTGACCCCCCTGTGTTTAACACTGATTGGGACAGCCGGCAATGGAGCTGAAGACCTTATTCTGCAACAGTCAGTTTGCCCCAGTTTGCCCCACAGGTTGGGGGGGGGTGGCAAGGGGCTGGGGAGTGCCACACATCCCTCCTCCGTCTCTCGACAACCCCCAAAAAGACCCCCAAATCCCAGAAAAGGCTGGATGACGCTGGCCCAGCAAAACAAAAAGTGTGGTTTCCTTCAGAAGGGTCTCCCTGGGCAAGGTCAAGAATACAATCAAAATAATAGTAATAGAAAAACATAATAAAAAACAAATCAATATATACATCCACCTCCCCATACAGGTAATGAACACACCTGTCTTGGCACACCTGGCTGACCGCAGTGGAGTCTAGTTCTAGCTCTTCAAGGTGAACCAGCTGGACCCTAAGCCCCCTCCCCCCCCCCACCCCTCGGTCCTGAGCGGCCCGAGAGCTCTTTTACGATCGGGGCTGTGAGTGCAGGCAGTCTGGGTCGCAATGTCTCGGCGCCACTGTGGGCCACAGAAGCTGTAAGTGAAGAGAGAGGGGAGGTGAGAGACGGGCCTCTGGGGCGAACGTTCACACACAATGCTGGGGCATCACCACAGGGGGGCGACATTCACAGTCTGCGTCCATTAGCACCGCTGTTTCCCCTCCGCAGCAATGAGTCTGCAAAACTGTGGCACCTTGAGACTAGTAAGGGCTGAGAGGAGTCTGCGTCTCCACTTCTGTGGCATTCAAAGAGCTAGTTCTTTTATCATAACCCTCCAGCCCTGGTCCTGGAGAACTAGTGGCCAGATCGTCACCTCCACCAAATTACCTATGTAAAGGCTCCAGGACCAGGTGAAAAAACAACAGGAAATGACACGTCTCGCCCTTTGGATATCTGTGCGACGCGATTTACCCTCCCCCAGCAAACCACCTGTCATTAGCACTGTTTCAGAACGGGAAACTTCAGGCGCAACAGTTAGTCAGCAGGGAAAACGTGCCCCCGGGAGTTGAGCAGAGGACAAGCGAGAGGGTCATGCCCCTGGGGAGCAGGGAGACACTCTCAAGTGCTGTAAGACAACCTCAGATACTGAAGCTCAGAGCTGGGTCCTACACTCCTCGATCCCTCGCCGCCGCGCTGCCGGACGGCACATTCTGTTCCTTTTCTGACAGAGCGGCTGAGTCCTAGATTTTGCAGAAAGGAAAGGCCGAGCTCCCGCAGCTTTGCAAACTGGCAGGATCGCTCGGCTCAGTCCGAGCCGAGTTCGGCATCGGAATACACCAAGGTCAGCAAGATGTGCCATCACACGGGTTGGGTTTTATTTTTTTTGGTAATAACACTGTAAATGCTTTTAATAGACCAGCTCCCACTCCTTCTGGCAGGCCTCCCTGGTTCGGTGACCCTGCTCGGATGGGAGAGGGGTGTGGGCTGTGTTCACACTGTGTTGGCTCCGTTCAGAAACACTTCGTCAGCAGGAATGCTGCCCAGCGGATGGGCATCGTGGCACCAGGCCATCCGAATTGGCCGGCGTGCCAAACCGCACAGCTTCCAGCCGTGATCACAGCTACCGGCTTCACTTCGCGGGAGGAGCTGGATGCCGCCACTCCGTGTGGTGCCTGTCAGTACCCAGGCCTGTAGCTGGACACAGTGCCTTGACGTGTCTTGGCCAGCGTGCTACAAGCTCGCCAGGTGTGGCAATCAGACTCCCACTGCCAGGCTGGCTGAGTCCATCCCGAAACTCCTGTCGTCCAGCAAGCTGGGTGGACAGATATATACTGATATATATACACATTCACAAAACCTCTCCTTTTCTGCATCATCAAAGCCTGCAGCTGGTGAGTAAAGAGCTGGACCAGCTGGAGTCTGGCCTCTGCAGGCTCTCAGCAGTGCTCCTGCGAGGGGAGGAGATTTGGCAGTTCGTCTGGGTCCTGCTGAACTCCGCCTCCCTTTGACAGAAGCCAGAGCCCTGAAGGATTCCCCAGAGGAATGTGCAAGTCTGTTCCCTCGCTCGGGAAACACAGCTGGCACGGCTGCAGAAGGGCGACATCAAGGAGATGCGCTGTTCGCATTTCACATTTAAATTGCCCTCTTTTCTCCCTGTTCGTCGACAAAGCGAACAGTGGGGTTCGGGGTTTGCAGGAGCCCTTTGATTTACATTGACTCTTCTGACAAGTCTTTCTGAAAAGTGGCCACCACAGCACATCCGACCCACTTCCTGCACGACCCAGCAGCCCATCTCCCGGCCCCCATCCCACCATCTGCTTTTCAAAAAAATGGCGCCTTCTCAGGTTTTCTCGCTCCAGGTCAAAATGTGCAAAACATTCTCAATTTTTTCTTCTTCCTCTAAATAACCTCTAGCTAATATTCCTAAACTATGTTCACGGGAATATTTTTCTTCCATATCTACACTGCACTTTGCAAGATTCACTACTTTAAAAACCTTTATGGTTGCTTTCGGAGTTTTTTTGGTGGATCCTGGAGCAACAACATGTTTGAAAATTCCTCCCATCAGTGTCTCGTGTAAGAGCAGAACAGCCTGAGCAGTTTGGCTCCGGGACGTTCGTGGGGGTTAATGCTGAAGCTGAGAGACACTCGGGCCAATCGGAACCCGGAATCAGGGAGCTGCCCTTCCAGAGGGAAGCCATTAGTCTTCAAACGGTCACATGTGATCAGGCAGAGCAGTGTGGGTCTGGGTGATTCAGATCAGCTGATCAATGCAGCCTCTTAAAGAAACCAGCTCAGTCAGTAACAGACAGTTCACATTCACCTGCAACGCTGCTTCCCAGATCGAGGCTTTGGGGCACCCCTCGGGGGGTTCCGGATTTAATCCGGAAGAGGCTCCCCTCAGAAAAACCAAAACTTCACTGCGGGGAGGAGCAGGGAGACAAAAAGAGCCCTCACCCCGTCCCATAACAAATCTTTCTATTATTCACGGCCGTCTTAAAGCTCGACTGATCCAAAATCTGGGTTACATCGTTGCTCCAAAAGGCTCAGTGGGGAATCTGGCTCAAAGCAGAAGGAAATGCGCCGGGGCTCCCATCTTTAGCCTCCAGTGGGCTTCAGGCTGATGAGAAGAGCCCCGTGCAGTTTTGATACAAATCCTGGACGCCTCACTAGAGAGCCAGGCACAGGTACCAGCTGGCTGCTGAGGCTTTAGATCAGTTCACAGGAGGTGTGCATTCCTGGCTGTAGGCAATGCACTGGAGTCCGGGAATCTGGAAGGACATGGGCTGTGTCCATTCGATCCCAGGGACTTTTTTTTATATGAGCGGAATAGCCACCAGCATGAGCAGGTGTTAACAGAAAGCATCAGAATGAAAGCCCCTGCTGAACTCTGACATCGCCAAGACCCAACCAACAAAAGGCACGTACATATGCCTCACCAAGATCAGCTGGCAGTGTGCAGAAACCTCATCTGCAGCAGACAAGTCCCAGAAAACGAAAGAGAGGGTAGGATACTTAGAACTGCATTTACATGGAGAATTTGTTCCCAATTTGTAAACAATTATCCTGTCCTTAAATGAAACCCCTTGCGATTGTATTTTGATTTATTAAACAGTCCCCTCATCTTTGATGGTGGAGACTTTCTCCCCTCCACCTAGAGAAAACTGAAGTGCCAGAGATCTGCTCAGAGAGCTGCCAAGTCATCTTGGGGAGGCGATACATATGTTGCCGGGGTTATAAAGGTGGTCCCTTCTTTGAGAAGGAGTAAGGCAGGCGGCACTGCTGACACAGCAGCAGTGCACCAGGCCTGGAGCTCCCTCTGAGACACAGAGACTGGAGGCGACGGGGAGGAGCAGCAGGGCAGCCCACATACCCCCTGCCTGGTCTCAACATGGCAACCCAGTGCCCCCCCCCGCCCACCTGGCCAGAGCATGCAGGCACATCCTGGTGTGCGCCAGGGGCAGGCAGGTCCAGTCTTTGCGTGCTGCATTTGTTTCTGGCTTCCATTCCATCTCAGACCTCAATGACCTAATTAAACCAATTAAGGGGGTTTAGAAGTCAGATCACCTGTGGCTTCCAGGTGTTAACCGGGCGCTGATTGAGGGGCAGTTCTAAAACCTCCTACACTCAAGGACTGGAGATGCCTGCTCCATCTGCAGGCTGTGCAAAGAAAAAGGGACCAGCTTTATATTCTCAAGGCATAAAACATTTATATAGATATTTATATCATTGCACAAATACAAACACATTGCTGGCTTAGGCAGTGAACAGCTGTTTGTTTTCCAGAGGATGGTCATGACCGTCCCCTTTTTACAAAAATAAAAGCAAACAGATTTGCGACCTGTTTTCAACAAATCCCCATCCGTTGACAAGAAGTAAATAAGTTAGACTATTTTAAACATTCACACTTTACATCCATTAAATGTATATATAATGTTCATGTATATATTTGTATTTTTTATACATAGGTATTTCTAAATATAAAAAGGTTTATAGTGCAAGATGTGCCTGAAGTTGCCCAAGAATAATAACAATTTAAAAAATAATATTATTAATAATTATAATAGTCATTATAATAACAAGAACAACAAGTTTCAAACAACCATGTGACGCTTCCCTGGGCGAAAGCAGTTTGTGCTCCTGGCGGTTTGTCACCTTCGAGCTCGTATTCACAGAAGAAAGATTCAGGATCTGCAAACTGAACATCTGCCGTGCCAAGACCACCTTCCCAAGCCCAGCCTCCCAGAAAGAAATCCAAGGAAAAGCGGCCGAGAGGCAGCGAAGCCCAGGCCAGGCCGGCAGACCTCGGGGGGGGGGGGGAATCCGAAAAACACCACCATCTCTCCTGAGCGATAGCGCCGCTCCACGAGCCCCACGAGCCCCAGCCTGCAGCCCGAAGCGCGGCCGCAGAAATCCCACCGAACAGAGTGGAGGCGGCAGAGGACAAGGGTTTCAAGGCTCGGATTCTTGCAGGAGCAAGGACAGGGTCTGGGCGGTTTTTCCAAACAAACTTTGGAAAGCAAACAGCAGCAAGTCACAATGCACCAGTCTGCTCGGAAAAGGAAAAAAAAAAAGAAATGGAAAAAAAATCCCCATGACCGGTAAGTGAAGACCATCAAAGACAGCTGCAGTCCATCCAGACACGATTGAAATCATCATAAAAAAACACGTCAATGAGAACTTGAGCACGAGGAAGAACGATGCACACTGAGCCAAACAGAGAGACTCCTGGGATGCGACAGGCATTGCAGGAAAGGTGGTTGGGAAGGTGGGACAGGGCCGGAGATCGCGGCTGTGTTATGCCATGACGCCTGTAAAACACCTTCACCGGTCTCCCGAGTCGCCCCCCCCCCTCGAGTCTCACGCCTGGATTCATGTTCTGATTCTGGATTTTTGTTTCCAAAACCAGGTCCAGTTCACCGCCCCCCAGCCAGCGATTTGGGGATCTTGCACTTTTAATTTCAGTTCATTTTAACACCTCCCTCCCACACCACCGCCGCCACCACTGCCAGGGGGGGGGAACGCCCGTGAGCGATCGCGTTTATTTTATTTGTGCGGCTCCTGATCCCAAAGCGGACGAGGCGCGCTCAGTCGAAGTCCCACGAGCTGGAGGGGCCTGGAGAGGTCTCGGAGGCCGGCTTCAGACAGCGGGAGACAGAGAGAAGACAAAAAAAAACAGAGAGAAGGCAGCGCGGCGCCATTGAGAGTCGAAGCAGAACCGGAGGCGGGCAGATGGGGTGAGAGGGTGAGAGGCGAGGGGCGGTTTGTCGGATGGGTGGGTTTTTTTTTGTTGCTGTTGTCGTTTAGATGCACAGTCTGCGCCCAGACAACACGGAGAGGAGGCTGCACAGGCGGTCGGCGAGGGCGGGAGGCGCGCGCGCGGGGTCGCGGGTACGGGCGTGTGTGTGTGTGCGTCTGCGCCTGTGTGTGCGTGTGCGAGCGTGCGTGCGTGCCGGGGGCGGGGCTAATGCGATCACAGCGCGAGCAGTGACGGCGAGCTCAGGGAGTCTGAGGACTGATCGCTGCTGCTGTTCCGCTGGTTGGCGCTGACCCCGCAGGTCGAAGTTCCCTCTGGGTAGGTGAACACAAATGAAGATGTGTATGAGGGGTTTGCCACGCACGGGGCGCTCAGCACAGGCCCACTCTGGGCATAGAAAGAACTAGAAAAGGCTACCTCCGGCATCAGCCCGGGCTGCTGCTGTTGCTGCTGTTGCTCGCTGGGAGGGTGAGGGTGGGGGGGGTAGGCCGGGGGTGCGGGTGGCCCCGGCAGGTAGAAGGGGTCCTCCTTCATGCTGAGCCCCAAGATGGACACGGACGGCCCGGGCTGCTGCTGAGCAAGCTGGCCCTGGGGCGGCTCCTCCTCGTAAGGGATCTTGCAAGCGGGCTGATGGGCCACCAGCACGAACTCCAGCCGCTCCTTCTCCTTCTGCAGCTCCGCGATCTCCGCCTCCAGCTCCGCCTTCTCCTCTTCCAGCTGGTCCGTCTCCTGGGAGAGCGAGGGGGCAGGGTCAGGATTAGGGCTGGACGCGACTTTACTTTCGTGTCAAAAACAGCAGGACATACAGCAGGATGGATCCCCGTAACGCTTTTGCTCTGTGGGTGCTCTGGCAGGCACTGTCTGAACCTATGAGCCTATGTGAGCCACTGCTCACATCTCCCAGCCACAACGCTGTCAGTTTTACAAAGCAGACAGCAGACATGTTGCAGACAAGCTGGTCCAGTGGGCACCAGGACAGAAACAAGACTCCAGCTCCTCACTGCACTTCAGGCTCTTGCACAAATATTATACGTGAAGACACAGAAGCAAATGCCTGTTTTTGATACTGTTACCATGGTCATAAGAAACTAATGCTTTCAGTTCTTGGGGTTTCAAAGCAAGTAGAAACAATGACTAGAAAACGAGGTGTTTCCTGAGCTCCTGGGGGTTGGAGAGGCCTCAATCAAAAGGAATATTCTGGTTTACCTTCATTTATCTTTCACTTAACATTAACTTTCTTAATTAAGTTTCTTGATAAATCATTAAGAGTCATCAACAGTCCAGAAACACAGGATAAAAAGAGGCAGAAGCAGGGAAACAGGGGAAACTCTGATTTCCTTCATAAGGAATCCCCAGATCAAAAACGTTCTTCCCAGGTTAGTGGATACGTGTTTAGAATATGGAGGTAGATTCCCATTCACGTTGGAGCAGCCTGATTTAAGGGAAGGGAGATCTGACACTAGACTGAATTCTGCTTTATTTAGGTGGTAGGTTTAACCCTCTTTTGTGGCCTGTAAGGCATTACATAGGATTTTTGAGTACTGGGTAGCAGTCTGAGTTTTTCTGGCAGGTCGTGATGCAGGCCTTATTGGCGCCTTGTTTCTAAATAGAGTAACATGTTAGTGTTTTATCATTGCATGTTGTCTAGGTGTTGTTATTGTTGTTAATAGTTTGTTTATTCCAGTTTATGCTCTTTTGCCAGAGTCAAAGCTCTCAGGTGCCTCCAACGATACCAACTGTTCAGGTATATTTTGACATATTGGCACATCTATGACAATTGGCATCATAATAATGATTTATTTTCATTACTGATTATCCTGCTTGGTATTATAATGTTCCTAAACCCCTCTATCTGAAACACCCATCCATCTATTTTCTTAACCACTTTATCCAATACAGGGTCACAGGGGAGCTGGAGCCTGTCCCCTGGCAAGCAATAAGACCAAGGCAGATACACCCTGGACAGGACGCCAGTCCATCACAGGGCACACACAGACACACAGACACACAGACACCCCTAGGGCAATTTTCCTTGAAGCCAAATAACCTGCCAGCTTGTCTTGGGTCTGCGGGAGAAAACCCATGCAAACACAGGGAAGATATACAAGACAGCCCCCCGGGTGCAAAATTGAACTCAGGGCCCCACCACTGCGAGGCAGTAGCGCTAACCACTGTGCCACCGTACTGCCCTCGACCGGAGATATCGATGCAACTTCAGAATTCTGAAGGGGATTGAGGAAACCCCCCCAAACCTGAAATTTGTGTTCAGAAAGGGACCAAAGCAATTGGCAGGCACCATGCACCACCATGCCACCCACATCTGTAACAGTAACCTAATAATTCCTTACAAGACAGAACGCACGAAACATCAAGCTCCTGCCTGGGTTGACTCTTACAACAGGGAAGACCTGGACTGGCTCAGACTCTTACGGAGTGGGACTCTGTAACGCCAACATCTGTCCTGAACGACGGGGTGGTCATAATTGCACCAAGCCCCCCCGAGAAGTAGCATGAGTGGGGTAACGTGCAGTGTTTGTTTTGCTCTCTCTTCAGCCTCACTCGAACCCGGGGTCACTCACCGACTGCAGCCTGTCGGTCAGCTCCCGCCGGCGGTTCCGACACTTGGCGGCTGCGAGCTTGTTCCGTTCGCGGCGCACTCGCCTCTTCTCTTCCTCCTCCGGGGTGAGCTGATGGGGGGGGCAGAGACAACGCGTTAATGAGACGCTGGCGCGTTCTGGGGGGG